TATTTTCCAACGACGAAAAGCAAACGGAAGATTATTACGAAGCCTAATAGTATTATTAAGAGTAAATGGAATAAAGTATTTTCAGAGATTATTCCTTCAACTGTCGTTATGTCACATATTTTCAATTTCATTCTCATTAATGGCAATATTATTTTGAGTTACAGAGTTAATTGTATAGGTTTGAAAATTAGTTTTTAAATTTTATTTCTTTGCTTCATCTCATTAATATACGCTAATGTAATTATTTAGAAATTCATTTCAACCCTCTGTTAACTCATCAAGTTCGCAATGTTTCAATGTAAATTTACTGGCACTTTCCAATTTGGAAATATGCAATTTTTAATAAAATAATAACTGGCAGTAATTGGCAGTCTCCAGTTAAGGGTTAAGTTTAATATCTTTCCAATTTTATTAAGATGAACGAAACGTAAAAATTGTTTATTAAAATAAATTGATGTCACACAATTTAACTTTGAAGTTGAAATTTCATTATATATACCATCGATAATTCCTAACATTTCATATAATATTTTAATTTTGTACAATTTTTGAGGTTGTTCCCGCGGCAGTTAAAGTGTTAAAAGTTAGAAGATCGTCGAGGTCAGAGGATGGTACCTCTTGTATACATTTGTCGACGTTTCCTGCCACCCTTATTTCACGTACAGTTACTCACAAAATTCAGCGTACACCTTTTAAAATGCAATAACTTTTTTAAAATTGCACTAAGTGACGTGAATTTCTTTTTACATGACGTGGGACCAGTCTACTAGATGATAACCGAAACGCTTGTTTAAAATTTTACTATTACTTGAAATGACAAAAAAAAATAAAAACCCTCGATTTTTAACCTTTTTATCTGAGCCTATAACGGAAACTTTAAAAAATGCCTTTCATATATTTCGGCAATTTCAGCTCAGATAAAAAAATTAAGAAACGAGAGTGTTTTTATCTTCTTTTTTTCATCCCGAGCAATAGCGAAATTAAAAGCCGGCATTTTAGTCATCGTCCAGTAGACTAGACCCTCTATCACCTAAAAAAACATAAGTCACGTAGTCCAGTTTTAAAAAAGTTATTGCGTCTTGAAAGATGCAGCCTCAATTTTGCGAGTAGCTGTACGTATATGCAAACATTGCATCCCGTGTCTCATCTTGTATTTAAGAGAGTCCCGCCTCGTCGGCAACCTGTCCAATTTGAGTACGGTTCGTCGACACCAAATCGATGCCAAGCCAAGTCCCGAAAGTATGTATATGTATACTGGCAGAGGGTCGCCCTCGGAATTACTCGGAATGGCGGCGCACGCGAAGGAGACGGCCGCCATAATTCTGTCTTGGGGGAGTCAAAAAATTGTCGCATTAATCAGGAAGAGACAGGCGCGGGAGAAAAGGACAAAAAGAAAGAGAGAGAGAGGGAGAGAGAGAGAGCCAGGCAGAGACAGAGAGAGAGAGAGAGAGAGAGAGAGAGCCAGGCAGAGACAGAGAGAGAGAGAGATAGAGAGAGAGAGCCAGGCAGAGACAGAGAGAGAGAGAGAGAGAGAAAGAAAGAGAGGTAAGGGCGAGGAAGGAGATATTCGCAGCCCCTTTGCGAATATTGCAGCTGGCCAGATAAGCCGGGCTAACCCCGAATTACCGGGCCCTCTCTTTGCCGGCGCAAATTAGCAGGCAGACACGGCCGGGAGCAAGCAGTGGAGGGTACAATTTTAAGGCACTCGCTCTAATAGGTAATGCAATTTAAGAAGCTCGTCAACCCTGGATGGCAGCAGGGACCGTAGGCAGATGGCTGTCGGCTGGATGGGGTGGAGCGGGGGAGAGAGAGAAAGAGGAAGGCAGAAACACAGACAGAGAGAGAGAGCGATAGAGAGAATGAGAGAGAGAGAGGGGGGGGGGGGAGAAAGACAGAGAGAAGGAGGTCCGCAACCGAGATAACCAGCAGCAGTTGAGTGGTGTACGTAGTGTGAATCTTAAATTCTGTGGCCGCCGCAACCGGCTTGCTTCCGTCTGCATAGCTGAGTGAATAACTTCGGTAATTACCGGCGACCTAGTTACGACTGTGGCACCGGGGACGGTTTACATTTCCGATCTGACCGGTCGTGCCCGGCGAACGCTTCTGATACGGTGCCACCGATTTGACGAAGGACACTTCGAGCGTCAGCCAGCAAACAATTGCTTTCCCAGCGGGGAAAGCTGAGGGCGCGGCTTACGCCTCGATCTCCGGCCCGGTTAAGTCTGCGCAACTTGTTCCCGTCGAAAGCCAGGGAATTCTAAACGATAAACGCGTTTAATAAAGAGAGGACGAGGCCGAAAGTCGGCCCCCACCGGCTTGGCACCGGTCTGCTCCAATCGGCATCGGGAGCAACGACTTCTGCGGTCCTCGGCGATCGCCCGACGATATTCTCGGGTAATGCAATTTCTTGAGTTTTCGGCCGAGCTCCAAGTCGTTACACGTACGTTACTCGATGCCTGGAGACTTTCAGGTGCACGAGTAACGCCCGGGGCGCTTCTCCCGCGATCAAACCAACGAAACTCTGGGAACACGACGGAACGACGACACCGTTGCCCTTATAAACCGGCGGGTGCCAGCGATACGCTCCTGCGAATCGAGGCACGCCTCGAGTTCGAAGCTGCAAAAATCCTGGAAAAAACAGGGCCGACATAAAACCGTAACGACCCGAGCGTTCCCTCGCAGAGACGAGACGAATACGTACATACGTGCGCGTCCAGGAGCCAGAGTTTCTCTGGTCCCAGCAACTTTACCAATGCGCCGCCAGAAGCTGTCGTTACGCTGAACTCCGTCTCATTAAATGCTCCCGCTAATAACTGTCGAGCCGAACGCACGCGAGAAGCGAAAAACAGTAGCGAGTTTCTACGAAATAGAAAAACAAAATGTATGAGGTCTTTGAATTATACGGTGGCTCGCGATAGTTTTCGAACACGTTGCACAATGGAGTCAACTTGCTTCGAATCTGACCAAACGACTCGAACTTTTTTTTTTTAATGTTAGAGGGACTGGTTTAGCAATGTCTAAAGCATTTGATTCAAAGATTGCAATTACTTGGAGTGACAAGTAAAAAAGCTCGAAAATAATATTCTAGTAAATAACTTAACTTAAATAAAAATAACTTAACTAACTAAGTAGATAAATCTGGCAAATAAATTAGATAGCATATTAATTTATTAGAGAATATCTACGAAATTTCTTCCAAAAATTGCAATTTGTTAGAACGACGGAGACAGCAAAGGACGCAGGTTTTTTAACTTTCTTATTCGAGCTTGAAAGGATTTTAGACTCAGAGATTTAAGGAACTTATTTTCTTTGATCACTTTAAGTTATGACATTTGTTTTGCAATGAAGACACTGCAAAACTATTTTATGCATGGTACCTTGCATTTAAGTCAATAACAGAAATATGAAAATAAAGCTAAAATGTTGCTTAATCATCCTTATAAAAATCTTTCTTTTTACATTATCGTTATATTAAATAAAAATTCTCGATTCACACCATTTTATTAGGTTATTTATGCATGGTTACTTATCCTCTTACTGGAAGACGAAAGGTATAACAGGTTGATTTAATTCGGATGAAATTAACACTCAAATACGATGAATATTGAAACTCCTGGAAGTCGTTGCATGGAATTAGATTTTGCTTATGCGAGACAATGCTGACGTAAGTTTCCTCTTGCATTCCATCAAAATCGACTAAAATAACTTGACATATTCTTCTTTCTTCATATTTTTGCAATAAAACGTATTCATTCAAAAGGTACTTAAATAATGAACTTCCGTCGTAAAATATGAACAGAGCTCCGGAAAAATAAATTTTTGAGATAGAACATAGACTATAAATGTTGTTATGTATTTTTATTGTTGTTATTTATTCTCATGTAATACAGAATTTGGTAAATAAACTTCTTTTGAAATAGTTGTTACGTATGGATATTCCGTAGTCAAATATATTTTTGAAATGTTGTTTCCATATCTAACTACTACTTCAAAAAAAAAGTTTATTTGTCACATTCTGCGATACACAAGAAGATAAAAATATTTATAGTCTATATTTACCATTTCAAAAATCTATTTTTACTCATATTTCCTGAATATAAGGAACCGTGGATAACGAAGGTTTTAAAAAATTATTACCAAATTATTACCAAATTGTTTAGCGAAATTATATGGCAATTTAAGAAGCCTAGATTAAGAAAATAATGTAAAAATGTAATGCAAAACTATTATACAGGGTGTCCCAAAATTATGGTGCTTTCGGGAAATAAGGGGTTCCTGAGGTCATTTGAAGCAACTCTTTCCTTTATAAAAATTTTCCCTGAGGCATCGTTTATGAGTTATTAACGAGAAACACTGACCAACGAGAGGCGAGATATGCTGGCGCGAGGCGACCCAGCCAGCGAGCGGTCGAAGCCCACTTCCGCTGATTGGCTCGGCCGCCTCGCGGCCTGATCTCGCCTCTCATTGGTCACTGTTTTTCGTTAATAACTTGTAAACGAAACCACGGTTTGCATTCTTGCTAAGGAAAAAGTTACTTTAAATGTCCTGAGGAACCCCCCATTTCCGAATTACGAGACATTTTTGGGACACCCTGTATACCACTTCCACAGCGCCTTTAAGGGAGATCATCGTCCAATGCGCCAATTCTTCGGTGGCTTCCTTTCACGAGAGCTCGACAGCGCTCGACGCTTAAGATTCTAATATCGGAAATTAGGTTGCACAAATTCCTGCAATCTTCGCGTTCTTTTCTCACGATACGTGGAAACGAAACGATGGAGTTCCATTAATTTCAACCACACAGCTGGATGCATAATGGTCGATCGTATAGTGGCACACGCAGTCGTCAGAGAACAACGGTTTCCCCTCGCGGCGAGGCTCTTTTTCCGCGGATTTGAATTACCGTCCCGCTAATTTCCTCCGTCTATTTCCCGCTCAACCTAGATCTCATTGACGGGTACACCGGTACATGCACTACACACGGTGCTTTTCAATATTTCCAGATGGCGCGACTCGGAACGAGAAGCCGGCCGCCGAAGAGACCCGGAGCCAGAATAATGTTCTTTCTTCGGTGGCTGCATCTGCCAAGAATGTCCTGGCTCAGACCGGCGGCAGCGCTATGCTACCCTGCAGATTCACTGGCCCCGGAATAGTAAGTACATATATAGCTGCGTACAGGCAAATATATGCGTTCTAGATGATGTACACAAGGGAGATGGCTCGTGCACAAGTGAGTCCCGCATACACGGCGAGCCTCGTAACGGGATCGCCGCCTTGAATTATTCTGTTGTTGATGGACCAATCGAATTTGTTTTCGCGTCGCGTAATGCACCCGGTGGCACCGGAACGTATTTGAACATTGAATTTCCGGATTTCGAACAGCTGCCGTCGTTGAATTTGCTTTATGCTTCGTAGAGAAGAATTTATTTGTGCCGCGAAAATATTGTAAATTCGAACGAATCTGGAAACATCGGACGGCTCTTTTCCTGGCCGAATTTACTATTGACACGAAGATTGAAGCTTCCCCTTTACAACGATGCTTTAAAACTTGATGTACGATTTTTCGTTCCGATGTTACGCTGCAAAATGGGGAACAGTGTCTTGTGGTGTATATTCTGCTACTGTAAAATTGGTAGCACAAGCTTCAAACGAAAGTGAATAAAACGGTGAAAAGAAATTACCGGTCTAGCATCGAAGGTTTATTGGAAAGAGGAAGCTTCAAATCTACAGGGTGTCCCACAATTATGTTTATTATGTTTATGGCGCGATTCCTCGAGTCGTTTGAAGTAACTTTTTCCTTAGCGAAAATGCAGTCCGCGGCTTTGTTTACGAGTTATTGACGAAAAATACTGACCAATGAGAGGCAAGCTCGCCTAGCGCGAGGAGGCCTAACCAACGAGCGCACGAAGCCCTGTTCCACTGATTGGTTCGGCCGCCTCGCGCCAGCCGATCTCGTCGTCTCTCATTGGTCACTGTTTTTCGTTAATAACTCCCAAGTAAAGACGCGGATTGCATTTTCGCCAAGGAAAAAATTACTTCAAATGACCTTAGAAATCATCTTTCCATGTGTTACCATAATTATGGAACAACCTGTATAATAGAAGTTACAAAAATATCTCTGTCGTCGGAAATACTTGAATAAGCCCGTTTATGCAAATTCTATCATATTATCCATTTCGCTGCAAGAGATATTATCCCGAAACAGGAGGTACATTAATAAATTGCAGGAAATTAAAAGCGTCTATTTATAAAATGTAACCGGGGTTTAAAACGGTTCTGGAAATAACAGGTTAAAACTGTTATTTGGACGTTCTAATTAAAACGATTACGAAGAACCAGAATTGTCTCTTTTGTTCACAGATCGATACTTTATGTAAAATAAAAATGGTCTGCATTATTTTCAACACACAGCAGCCGAATAGAAATTTCATTCATTTGAATGTATTACAATCAACGTTCTTAACGTCTTATCTATTTATTTAATACATTAAACCAGCCGATTTGTGCAGCAATGCAACATCATTACACGTAATTTGGTCAACGTATCATTTTTAAATTCTTAACCCTTTCCTCTGCGATTTATATCACAACTGCGTGTTGATTGATGCTTCTTTGTTTCTGGTAAATCCCTACACGATAAAGGAAAATTTTAATTTGTCGCGTGCCAAACTTTTCCTCGACGATCGATAATAGAACAGCAGAATGTAATTTCGATTTCAAAAACACGAATAACATCCACATTTGGCGGATTATGTACTAAATCTTTATAACGAGTGCGACAGGATATTATACGGCTTGAGATTAACACTTTAATGACCGCACGTCTACGCAGTCAAACGTCGCCAGGGGTCGGCAATATTTTTGAAGAATTAATTTAAAAAGACTTTATGTAAATTCATGAAATAATTCAACATGCGCGTACATACACATAAAACAAAAAAACAACAACAACAATAACGACACATTTAATAGAACAAAAATATTTTTCCTTTGCGTGATAATTATTAAAGCAATCACCTACATAATTATTAAAGCATCACACACATGTGTGAGCGGCCATTAAAGCGTTAATACAGTAGTATAATTCCAAATGCAAAGTAAATTCTCCCTAATTTTCCTTCAGCTCGTAAACAAAAGTGGACAAGGCGAGTGTGTTTCAGAGCCGATTGAAAATTTCAACAGTTTCGCGCGACCGGCTGCGTGACCGTTCTCTTTACTGTCTTTTTGTGTTGTATTTTATGTGCGTCACTGTTTAGTAATAAATAGAATAGTTACCAAAACATACCGTAATAGAATCTACCTCTACCGTAATTTCTCCCTAATTCGCGCTCAGATTTCGCACAAAAATGGACAATTTGGGAGAAGAAAATACGATTATTCGTGGCTCACTTTTATAATTGCCAATTGTCAAAATTATAAAAGCGAAATGCAAGTCTCGAATAATCGCGTCTCCTTTTCCCAAATTATCCATTTTCCTTTCCAAGTTGAAGGAAAATCAGGGAGAATTTACTGTAATTTCCTTCGATAAGCTACGAGGATCATTCTTTGTACTTTCTTAAACTCTTTGATTTCATCTCGTTTTTTCGACTCGCCTCCTCGTTATTGCCACATTCAAGATATCCATAACCGTTCCGAGAGCTCGAACGGCTATTGTAACTGTTTCCAATCCTTCGTTCGCCAATAATCAAGAGAATCGCCGACGTCTATCGTCTGCGACGCTCGCGCGAACAGCAAATACTTGGAAGTACCGTAATTTCTCCCTAATTCGCGCTCAGATTTCGCACAAAAATGGACAATTTGGGAGAAGAAAATACGATTATTCGTGGCTCACTTTTATAATTGCCAATTGTCAAAATTATAAAAGCGAAATTCAAGTCTCGAATAATCGCGTCTCCTCTTCCCAAATTATCCATTTTCATTTCCAAGTTGAAGGAAAATCAGGGAGAATTTACTATAATTTCCTTCGATAAGCTACGAGGATCATTCTTTGTACTTTCTTAAACTCTTTGATTTCATCTCGTTTTTTCGACTCGCCTCCTCGTTATTGCCACATTCAAGATATCCATAACCGTTCCGAGAGCTCGAACGGCTATTGTAACTGTTTCCAATCCTTCGTTCGCCAATAATCAAGAGAATCGCCGACGTCTATCGTCTGCGACGCTCGCGCGAACAGCAAATACTTGGAAGTACCGTAATTTCTCCCTAATTCGCGCTCAGATTTCGCACAAAAATGGACAATTTGGGAGAAGAAAATACGATTATTCGTGGCTCACTTTTATAATTGCCAATTGTCAAAATTATAAAAGCGAAATGCAAGTCTCGAATAATCGCGTCTCCTTTTCCCAAATTATCCATTTTCCTTTCCAAGTTGAAGGAAAATCAGGGAGAATTTACTGTAATTTCCTTCGATAAGCTACGAGGATCATTCTTTGTACTTTCTTAAACTCTTTGATTTCATCTCGTTTTTTCGACTCGCCTCCTCGTTATTGCCACATTCAAGATATCCATAACCGTTCCGAGAGCTCGAACGGCTATTGTAACTGTTTCCAATCCTTCGTTCGCCAATAATCAAGAGAATCGCCGACGTCTATCGTCTGCGACGCTCGCGCGAACAGCAAATACTTGGAAGTACCGTAATTTCTCCCTAATTCGCGCTCAGATTTCGCACAAAAATGGACAATTTGGGAGAAGAAAATACGATTATTCGTGGCTCACTTTTATAATTGCCAATTGTCAAAATTATAAAAGCGAAATTCAAGTCTCGAATAATCGCGTCTCCTCTTCCCAAATTATCCATTTTCATTTCCAAGTTGAAGGAAAATCAGGGAGAATTTACTATAATTTCCTTCGATAAGCTACGAGGATCATTCTTTGTACTTTCTTAAACTCTTTGATTTCATCTCGTTTTTTCGACTCGCCTCCTCGTTATTGCCACATTCAAGATATCCATAACCGTTCCGAGAGCTCGAACGGCTATTGTAACTGTTTCCAATCCTTCGTTCGCCAATAATCAAGAGAATCGCCGACGTCTATCGTCTGCGACGCTCGCGCGAACAGCAAATACTTGGAAGTACCGTAATTTCTCCCTAATTCGCGCTCAGATTTCGCACAAAAATGGACAATTTGGGAGAAGAAAATACGATTATTCGTGGCTCACTTTTATAATTGCCAATTGTCAAAATTATAAAAGCGAAATTCAAGTCTCGAATAATCGCGTCTCCTCTTCCCAAATTATCCATTTTCATTTCCAAGTTGAAGGAAAATCAGGGAGAATTTACTATAATTTCCTTCGATAAGCTACGAGGATCATTCTTTGTACTTTCTTAAACTCTTTGATTTCATCTCGTTTTTTCGACTCGCCTCCTCGTTATTGCCACATTCAAGATATCCATAACCGTTCCGAGAGCTCGAACGGCTATTGTAACTGTTTCCAATCCTTCGTTCGCCAATAATCAAGAGAATCGCCGACGTCTATCGTCTGCGACGCTCGCGCGAACAGCAGATGCTCGGAAGCCACCGAGCACAGTACCGAGGAAAAATTCTCGCCTGATCACGTTGCAGGATTCACCTCGTATAAGCTGACGCTACGTACCGCGTGCTCGCGTTATCCACGGGTCGCCGGACGTGAAGGAAATATGCAACAATATGCACAAGTTCGTACGGCATTGTATGAAGCAGGAAACATCGATAAACAGTCGCGCTCGTAGATTGCGTGTGCACCGAGGGAGCGGAGCATTGCGCATTCCGAAACCGCGCGCGTGAAACGCGCCCGCTCAAAGCCGCTCCGGGGACAAGAAGCGTGCTCCCCGACGCTCATACACCGCCCGCGCTGTTACGCGACGGTTTTTCGCCCCGCTTCTAATTCCGCGGGACGCACCAGTCCTCAATGGCCCCGGGGGCCACGTCTTTTCAGAGATCTTTCAAAGACCGGTCACCGTCTTTAAGATTGCACGTGTCACGGGACGGAGGGGAACCGGCCGCGCGCTTTCCGTGAGTTCAGCCGCGTTCCCGCTTCCTACGTCGGGTCTGAAAGGATTCAAAGGGAACGGTCACGCAGCCGGTCGAGCGGAACTGTTGAAATTTTCAATCGGCTCTGAAACACGCTCGCCTTGTCCACTTTTGTTTACGAGCTGAAGGAAAATTAGGGAGAAT